ACATGGGTCATCTCGGATGAAAAACTAGGTCACCGGAGCTATGTAATTGGCTAATTCACTATAGCACAAATCGGCATGCTTTTCGAGTCGATTTGAATTTTCCGGTAAATCACAACTTAAATGTAATTTATCACAAAAAGCAACTGATAGCTTAAAAAACGAAAGCATATTTTCTCAAAAGACCCCCCCCCCCCTATTTTAGAAAAGCACGGTCACACTGTGACGTAACTCAAAAACAATACTACGAAATTAGTCTAACGATTCTTTTTGTGTTGTAATTTAAGACACTGACAGATACAAGCAGTTAAGATTTCGTCTAAAACAATTGGTTCCTGTTATCACCGCTATGCTTAGTACACACCAATATGGAGGCTGTTAATTAAAAATACACGATTTTTACACGAGATTATGTAAAATTGTTTAAAAGTTGAATGAGTTGTTTTTGAGAAGGAAAATACACATTAATGGTATGATTTTGAATGTCAATCATTATTTGAAACATTGTACATGGGGAGTTTGAATGATTGTGCAGCAGTTTATTGTTTTTTCCTTTTGCTACGGACTTATTAGAAATCTGTAAACGTTAAAGCGGATTGGACCAATTTTAAAAAATAGCTTCAAATCCGCAGTTTACAGCTAAATATTTGGACTAGTCTAAAACTAAAATATCGTTAAGGACACTCTGATTGGGCAGGAATTGTTTCTAATTTAGAGTGATATATCTTATTATATAAACCATCTCTGATTTAAAAGTAGTGATGTGTCAACAGTTTGTTTTACAAACAGACAGTGTCGCATGAATCCTTGAACGCTAATATTTGTTTGACATTTCCTTACTAACACACAATCATTGTTTATGAACGCTACTTCTGTATTTGTCATGTTATGCGTTTCAGATAAAAATTGAGGACCGACTGCATTACTTTTTAGCTCACATTTAAACTGTAGTTTAACCGTTGTCACTTGCATAAAAGAGGTCTGATCAGAAAAGTTTACATAGCTTAATCACAAGTTTTTGCCGAAAAATGGCAAAATCAATCTCGGTGTGGTTTCAGGCTAAGTTTAAACAAAACACAATATGGTCAAATTGTATATGACTTGTTTGTAAATACTATGCAGACCTATTCCGAGTGCGGTAACTGTCTTACCTACATGCTTTTTTGTTTTTCTATCCATACATTAGTTTTTAACTCAGCATTTATTAATATTACTAACAAGAAACATATTATTTATGTACTTAATTATGTATAAGAAAGCATTCCAAAGCCATGCAAAGATACCATCCGCTACACTCTTGTAATTCATTCGTTCACAAATCAGGTATTTGAATATTCTCGTGATTTTCGTGGGGTTTCATTATGTAATAAGGTCAGGTAATATACTTGTTGAGTTGAGTCAGAGAAAATGAAAACAGAACTTGTAGAGTAGGCAGAGGTAAGATCATTATTTTGATATATGAATACATAACATATTAATAATATAAACAAATACTGAGGAAGATAAAAATGTTTTCTAATCATAAAAACGGAACACTTTATCTTTATATATAATAAATTTCTTGGTAAATAGATGATCAGGCTATTTCTTATATAATTGAAATATACGATTTTTTCAAAGGAAAGTAAAAGACTCGGTTCTATGAATAAATATTAGTAATACAAATGTAAGTTGGTTTTTGTTGTTGTTTTTGTTTTTTATGATGGCTGATTTTAAATGTTCTTAGAATTTCATCCATGTTTGGAAGAATTTTCTTTCCGTGTATTCTTAATTAGCAACATCCGTTATACGACCGCATGTAAGCACGCGGTCTAGAATGGAAGCGCAAGTCGTATTCTTGGTACTGGTATACAAATTCCAAATTGTAATGTAAAAATAACTGGGGAAAAAATGAGAAAAACGGTTTATACTTGAGATGAACTATACTCTCACTGAAAGCAACATTTTGGGAAAGAAAGAAGCAGAAGTTCGGTTTGATTCAATATGCACCAATAATATAATCGTCGTATATATCCCATAATGCAGAATTGTTAAAATAATGCAGGATTGTGCAAATTCATACATAGTTGTGGAAATAAATACCGAAAACTAGTATCTTATGAAGCTATATAGTTCGGCAAATGTGTTAGGTATACCGAAAAGCAAACTTTAAAGAAAGCTTAATGTGCGTTGTTATACTCATTAATATCGGCGAAACACAAAACTTCAACGCCAGAACAGTAGCCAGTTCGTTTTTCGCACAAATAATCTGGAATATAAGTTATGAGGGTCCTTACAGCCGCATGCACTAATTTATTTCGATTAATTTTTAAATATATATATCGACCCTTTTTTCCTATTCAAAGTGGTCATTACCCCCCCCCCCCACACACACACACACACACACACACGTACACGCCCACGCACACGCACACACACACTCATACACAATTCAGCGTTCTTTTACGGTGAATATTGTGTACTGTAATGCACGAGTTTCTCGACTTCACATATTTTCTATTGTATAGAGAACAATAGAACAATAACCGGTCGGTATCTATTTGCAGACCTGTTAACCGGTCGGTAAAATTTACTAGACCGCTTTTAACAAAAGAGCCGGCAGGTAAAAACATTTACCTACCGGCTCTTTTGTTAAAAGCGGTCTAGTAAATCACTTACCGACCGCTTAACAGGTCTGCAAATATATACCGACCTGTTATTGTTCTATTGTTCTTTATACAATAGAAAATATGTGAAGTCGAGAAACTCGTGCATTACACAATATTTACCGTAAACGCAGAAATTTTGAAAAATAACGCTGAATTGTGCAAATTTATATGGGGGGGGGAATAATGACCACTTTGAATTGGAAAAGGGTCAATATATATTTTAAAGTACATTTGATCAAATTAATAGAATAAAATTAGCGCATACGGCTGTAAGGACCCTCATAACATATATTCACGATTATTTGTGAGAAAAACGAACTGGCTACACTGTAAATTTTGGGAACACTACACGTGTTTTACCAGTGTTTCACACAAAAACACTGACGTTTTCATATAAAATGCTTATGTTTTGTATACGTTTCAGTGAAAACACATATGTTTTATTCATGTTTTCCGCTCGATGCCCAGAAAACGGTGGTGTTTTCACAGGACAACCTAGAATATATAATTAAATAATTTTACATTATTGAATGAGTTGAAGTCACGCAAGTGTTGTGAATAGGCCACATGTAAAAAAATAATGAGACAAAAACATCATTTGTGTCGGAAAATTCGTATATACTTGTCATCCGGAAATCTGAAAACACGTGTTTCGGCCGAAAACACTAAGGTTTAATCTGACAGCGGTTACTTCCCCTTAGCACAAAAAACATGAATTGATTAATTTTTTTTTTATAATTAGAATTATTTTTGTACAATCCCCATATTAAAATATCTAGATCCAGAAACAAATTATGATGAATTCAATTACATAAAATATTTAATAATAAATAAATTCGAATCATAGCAGCCAGATGCTTGCGTGTAAAGAGTACGCTTCGATTGATATCTCCGTAAAGCGCCTGGCGATGTAGCACATTGTAGATCAGACGACAAAAACCGCCAGAAATTGTTTGCCTCATTTTTGTTGTTTCTTCCATAACAGATATGTACAACAGTTGCTTAAATAGATTTGTTAATATTTTTAACGTTTTTACAGGTGAATGGTTAGGTTTTATGTACTATATAGTCCATTTTCGCTTCGATAGACGAATTGAAACAGGTGGGTGGGGAATGCTGTTTACGTTACGTGATAAGATTGGTCAGTTATTTCTGTTTGTGCAAAAATTACTAAAACTGTTTGTGTTCTTTTTCACGGATTTGTATTCAAATCACTTTGGGGTAGTTTTAAGTTGTATCGTTTGTTTCCTTGTTAAGGATTAAAATAATTTAAATTTGTCTTTCAACTGGTCCACCAGGGCAGGAGTATTTCTGTCCACACACACTTTCTAACAACAAATTGAAGTAAAATCTTATTTACATTTAGTGATGTAGGACATGGCGCATGATGTCCAATGATCAGCTATGGGATTGACTATGTTTATACCTGTCTGATAATGCAGGTATATAAATTAACAATTTTTATCAAGGGGCCCAGACTATTTTACATTAGTTATTTAGGCATTTCTTCTAGAAAGCTGGGGCCCTACCCAAAAGTTAGGACCATTGCGACTGGGTCCCTGTTATTTTATATCCCTGTAATGGAAGCACGATGGGCATGCGGCAGGTATTAATAATTGTCATTTAACAGTAACTGTATAAACCTTTTGATTGAAATTTCCTATAAACCCCCACACCCCTAAATTTCTTTATTTTCAATATTTTATAAACTTTAGAATGAAAAGACAAATAAACATATATAGTTCTATATTATTATCACACATTTATAATAAATGTTCCTTTGTCAGGGTGCAACTATTCAGCTTTCTCTGGATTTGATTCTTAATTCCATTAATTTCGATTTGATTATTGAGGCTAAGTTAACATTAATTTTATATAGGGAATACTTTAAAAATATTTTTTAACTAGTTACTTAAACTTTATTTAAACAAAAACATACTGAATAAAACTTTTAAACAACATCATGAGCTAGAAAACAGAAACCATATCATGTTACATTCAACGTGTTTTGATTGGATAAGCGAGAACACGTTGTCAAGTAAAGAAACGCTTATATTATATATAATATTTAGATATAAAACATTCAATTAATATCAGAAAGTCAAAGTGTTTTTCCCCTACTTTGGGAATGGTACAGTTAACGGTACCGGACAGATTGGGGAAAAATCCATCGGTTTGACTTAAATTGGGAATTTTATTTTAGATGCAAAATATTTATTGGGAATTTCTTTTATCCAGGGAGGTGATGAAAATTTTGCATAATTATACACTTTAAAATCATGTGATTATTAACTTTAAAGATTATTTTTGCTGCTTGAGGTTGAAAAAAAATTATAATCATAACAATTGTACATAAATAATGTTTAGTAGGTGTGAAACATTAAGTACGAAATGAACTGGGTACGAATATCACTCATGTGGTTTTACTTGGTTTTTATCGTAATATCACTTATCAATACGGAAGGCTCCGAGGCATGCATTACTGTTTTTAGAGGAAATTTTCAGTGTTAAATTTGGAATTTATCAGTCATGAATTGGAAAATTTGCTGTCTATTTTCTGTTGGGAACGGTGCCGTTTTCCGGTATCAGTTGTATAAGGAAAAACACTGGGTTGTTGTTAAGATTTTAGTCATTGACTAGATTTCTACCAGAATTTTTTTGTTTTTACTCTTCTTGTGCAAGTTGTGGTTATAGAGTGTGATGAACATATTGACTCTTACTTTGTAAAACGTTCAGATACAAAGACAGTTGCTAAAAAATATCAAGATCTCAAGTTTGTTTTGCCCCTGTCTTGCATATCTGTAATGGAAGAACAGTTATTATGGATAAATACAGGTACTTCAATAAAATGTAATTTTGGGTACTGTCAGATCTACATGTTACGCTACAAGTTTCTTCTCATAATTACATATTTAACAACTAGTATGGCTAATGAGTACAAAATTTTGGAGGTACTACACTACAAGGCAGAAGAGAATATCTGTCCTTGCAAGCAGTCTTGAAGACCTTCTGAAGAAAGGTAAGTATTTTTACACACTACAGCACAATTACAACACAGTGTTAGGTTGTGTGCTCAAAAGAGGAATCTCAGAATTATTTAGAATATAAAGCCTTGTCATAAGAAAATCTGTACAGGTGTGACTACTGTACAGCCACAGTTGATGGCGTAAAACACTTTGTGAAAGTCTGGTGATCCAGATGTCAAGTAAAACCGATATGTGAATAGAAAAAAATAGACATTTCACAGTATCATAGTTTTATTTACATTTGAATTGATTTTTTAAAACAAAAAATGTGATTCTACCTTTCTGTGTTTAATTTTTACTACATTTGCAAATTCAATAAATTATCATCATGTAAGTATTACCTAATTGCAATAACTAGTGTCCTCCACTTTGATTTTCACAAACATTTAACATGGTGAACCCTAAATGTTAATCATCATAATTATTCACAAAATTTTAGCCTTGCAAAAATATCTGATTTCACAGTATAAAGAAAATTCAAACAAGTAGACTCAAAACACAAGCTTTTCACAAAATATAATAATCATGTTAACAGTAAAACAAACCCTACTTGATGATATTATTTAGAATTTTCTTAAAAGAAAGGAACAGTTGTCAAAATTTAAATTGAGTTCTATATATGCTGTTGAGATCCATTTGTGATGGCAGAAATCATATTCATGAATATAACTACGGATCTCATCTATATAATATTTGATAGCTACAATACATAATTGTTATGTTAGAATGACTGTCTAATGTTTTACAGAAAAGATCTGTAGTTTGATAAATAATTCAAACAGTTTGATACTTCGATCTAGTTGGTATTGATGACTATTTCTCAGAAACACTAACTCAAGTTTTATTCAATATTTTAGCTGGTGACAAGCAACAGTTGCAAGGAGGAAGTTTGATTGTTGTGCTGGAAAAAGATGTGACAGAAATGGAAGAAAACGCCATCCTTGACATATTCAAAACTAAGTATTGATGCTTCTAGAAGACCAACAATTATGAGAACCAGATATTCCAAAAGACACTGTTGTAATGTTTGGGCAGACACCCAAGATGCCAACATGTCAAAGACTGAGACAGAGTCCACAACTGTTACCACAGCGACAGAAATTGTAACACCATCTTGTAAGTTGCATGAAAAAATAGTAGATTTGAATTTTCTGTCTTATCAGTTGACTATTAAAATCTGATATATAGTATAATATTTCTTGGCAAAAATGCCTGCAATATAACTGAAATACTATTGAAACAGGTGTTAAACTCCAACAATATTTCTGAGAACGGAACAATTAAGCTGATAACAGAACTTAAATTTGAACATTGGAAAATGCAATATTGTATATAAAGAATCTTAAATGAGTTGTCATATAATACATGTGACACATTGAGTAATTTATATATGAGCAGGGGCATGACCTTTAATTTACATGTATGCTCAGCAAAAACCTGGATCATCCCATCCACCCCTTTATCCAATCAGATGTTAACTGTGCGTTCAATGGTTACCCAAAGGTCCTATACTTCATTGAGTGGATAGCCAGGACCCAACCATGCAGGCATCTAGTCAGGTCTGAGTCCTTGATGGATGTACATCCTTACTGCAGGTTTATCATGCCATGGCTTAAATAATTTCAAAGATTAATATGTTGTACTAAAATTACAAAATCATTTTATCAATATGCATATTTACATGTCACATTATAAGTCTTTATAATGAGGTTCTTTCTAGCAAGTCCTTTGGATATAATAAAGTTCAAAGATAAATTCCTAAAATGTGTAGACTATGAGTATGTATAAAAATAACCATGAATGGTTATTATTGTAATATTTACAGTATTGTTTGGATGTATAATCATAAATGCAACGTTTAAACTAACATGAGGTTGGTATTGACCCCAACAACCATGTTACATATTTGTTGCTGAACAGAACTTTTTCCTGAATGTTGAGGAAAATACACTAAAAAAATAAACTAAAAAAAAAAAAGAAATAATTTATAAATTACATCATATATGAGCATACACAAATGGCTGTTAATTGTGTCATAAATTGCATATTAAACATTAATGGTTATAAAAATATTTGGAAAGTGAAATTTAAAGGCAGGTGATCTATGCTGTTTTGCTACATTTCCTTTTTTAATTATCATATGATTATCAAATAAGCTAATTATAATAATTGTTTTTCTTTTCTTTTTTCAGATGTTGTTGGAAATTAAATTAATTCTTGCAGTAGGCCACATCCAACCATTTGTTGACAATCTAGAGATATTGTTTGAAGCAGTAGCTACACTTAAACCTGGAGGAAAAGAGGTATGAGTTAAGATTACTGTTAGGGCAGGCAACCTTGTGGAAAAAGGAAAAAGATATCATTGCAATCTTACTATGCATACAGCACAGCCTTGTTATAATGCGGCTTAAGATATAATAATGTTTAAAAGAGGGTAAAAATTGTATTCACAAAAGTTATAGAATAGAAATAAAAATTCCATATTTTTTTAAATATATAATAAATACTTTTTTGTTTGGATATAATGTGGTTAACTAACATGGTCTATATAAAGGATTCAAACTATCATGTTATAACAAGGTTGTGTTGAACCTAGGAAACCCAGTCAGAAGTTGATTATGCTTCTGCACCTGTACATTAATCAAATAGTTCTGACAATGATTATTTGTTGTTGTTGTTTTTGTTTAGATATAAAATATCTGATTTTTAATACAAAATATGTAATTTTTAATTTTAATGTGCTTTGAAATACATTGTCTGACTGGACTTCAAAAATTTGCGACTTTATCCTGAGATATATTGCAGGAAATCCAACATGGCATAATCTTGTTTTGTGGCTGATGTTTGTTTTTACAGTGCTTTTGTCACTTAATGCAAATATGGTTAAATTGTTAACACAGTGTGTTGACTGCTAATCATGTGTTCATTTTGTCATATAAAAAGCTGTGTTTAGGATCTGATTGTGTGCGTTTCTGTTTACTTAGAATTACTGATTTTCTGTTGCAGTGCAAAGATGATTTGGACGTTATAAGAGCCATAGAAAGTAATACAGGATTCAAACATGGAAAGGGGTGCAAGACTAGATAAATTGTAGTTCTACATAAGGTATAGTAAATTTACCGGAATTTTTCAGTTTTCAGTTTTGTATAATACCACTGAATTTAATTTTAACTTGAATACTTGCAGCCGCTAATCATGACAAGACACATTTGTAACTGACAAGGGACAAAATTCTGAAATTTATTAAATAAATTAATGTCAAAACTATCAAAGGTATCAGCACAAGACTTTGATAAATTCATTTTATATTTGCTTTACATTACAAGACACACTGTTCAGACAAGGGGAGTTATTCTTAAAACTATATTTTGGAGTTATGCCCCTTTTCAACTTACAATTTTGTCAAAATAGCATATTAAATGGATTGACTTGTAAACTTATTTAAGTATATGATAAGTATCTCTATAGATATGCCTCTTTGTCAAACATGGTATCTCATTTTTTGCCTGTCTTGTCACTATATAAAATAGACGAATGTTGGCCCTGCTCAGCATGGCATGGCAGAAGATCGAATTTCTGACCTACTGCTCCAGAAGCAGACATTAACTAACACTTTATTATGTGCTGGTTGGAAATGCTTAAGGTAGAAGATTTCCCTGATCCTGTTATGAAGGATGGTACTTATTCATTGTTTTATTCCATGTTCATTTTGCAGGATATTGAAGAAGCTAATCTGTCAAAGGTCCTGTCATCACAGCCTAATACTCCTCCAAGTGAAGCCTTGTTTTTATTTTTAACAACATAGAACTGGACAAACAGTATATTGTTGGAGACCAGTGCAAGATACCACTTGAGACAGTCTTTCTTAGTCACAAGTCGGCTGGGTATTTACACTTTGTGGAAAAATTGGAAAAACTAATGAACAAATAGAACCAACATTTTAAATTAAATTCAACCTTCTGTGTCATGGACATATTATTGACTTCTTAACAGCTTACCTTTTACCATGAAAAAACCTGCTTTTTTGCACTTGCAAAAACAAAGGTGCAGAATAGCTGTGTGGTAACCATCAGCTGATCAGTGCCTTTATTTTTGCTGCATAGATGGTGCAATCCCTCCCCTTCCTTAATCAGACATTTAAATCCTCTTGATGTCTGAACATGAAGCTGTATATTTTGGCTCTATTTGAAATAGCAAATGTCAAGTGTCAATATTTTTCAAAACAGCTAAGACTATGCTTCTTTTTAGGAACTTTTAAATCCAGTGATTTATCAAATTATTATTCACTAGCAGAAAAGATTGACTTAATAATGCAGTGTTTAAACACTAATTTTATTATTTATGACATCAGTATGTTATTGCAGACTGTGACATTTTTATGTCAATGAAGCATTAAAATGCCATATATTATAAATTGTTTATTACAGTTAAGAAGTATTAGTGCTATTTGTTGTTTGCAAATGTTAATATGCTCTTATTTTGTACATGCTATGTAGTAAGTTTAATATATTGCATTGATGTCTTAAATAAGTTTGTATTTTGTTGATGTATTACTGAATTTACTGTCTAACTTTAACACATGCTCACTTCATTATCATATCAGATTTATTAAATTTTCATTTACTGATTTCAAGTGGTAAGCAGAATTATTTACAGAGATCACTAGTTTTCACTGATCAGGCACCTTTGTTGTGCATTTAAATTTTTGGTGTTTTTGGAGTCAAAGAAATGATTTATCAAAATATTGTTTAAAGTTGCATTGTAACTTTTTAGAGTGCTAAAGTGTACCATTTTTTTTGTCTAAGCCTTAAGCGCACCACAACAAAAGACATTTATGAACCATCAGGATATATACTGTTACTGATAAAAAATAGAGCACTAGTGCACAGACTTTTGACCCCCCCCCCCTCCTCGTAACCATGAAGTGTATTATAATTTGTCTGACAGTACTCGGACACATTATTGGGGACAGTCAACATTGAATGACCGATTTTTGACACTGTCTGAAAATACTGTTTGTTTTTTTCCAACCCAAATATGATACATATATGTGCCAAAACCGGGTTTTTTACATTTTACAGGGAGGTAGGCTTTACTGTGTAAAAAGGTTTTATTTTTGTAGAGAGAAGTTAAATCCATTTTATATATGTTTTCATTTTACCTGAAATTCTACTGATATCCATATATCAATTTGTTTTTGTTGTTTAATTGTCTATCTATTTATTTACTTAATTGTTTGCCTAAATATAACTGTAATCTGTTTTATGTATTTATTTTATACATTCATTTTTAATCCCCTTCTGCATAGAGGGGAGGGGTCAAATATTCATGTTTATAACTTTTTGACATGGAAGATTTTAAATATTTTAGCATAAATAATCACGACCATGGCACAACAGCCAGGTTTTTCTCTAAAAGACATGGTTTGTTAAAGATCAAGAAGTACAGATTCCTGTCCACTGCGAAGGGGATATAGTTGTCCTTCAGACTGCCTTGTTTTTAATTGTCTGAAGTTTCAATATGAAAATGCTCTTTTTAATTTTGTGATTTGTAACACCAGAATTTCGGGTATATTGCATTGGATTGTAACATGGCTGACAAGGTGACAGTAAAATTGCCACCTGTAGGAAATGCTACATGAGTTGACAGTGTTTTTCCAAAAGTTGTCAACTTTACTGTCACTCTGTCAGGCATGCAATATTAATTTTATTATACCAAAAATACTATTATGATAATGGTAGGGGGTCTTGATCTATTTAACATTTATGTGCAGTAATGAAGAACAATTAGTATTTAACCTAAATTTCAAAATGTTATTAAAATGTGTATAATATGTTTATGTGTCATTGTTCACATTTTTTGGTTGATCGTGTTTTGAAATAAAACATGGAAACTATTAAAACGTGTAAACGTGTTTTAAATCTGTTACAGTCCCAAAACACGTGTTAGGTGTTTTCAGACAAAACACCTAAACACGTTTTCTAGGAAAACACCCGTGTTTTAGTGTGAAACATCAGTGTTTTGTGAAAACACCGCAACATGTTTTAAAACTGTTACAGATAGGTGTTTTCACATGTGTTTGGAATCAAAACACTGAGATTTAGAGTGTACTGTTCTGGCGTTGAAGTTTGTGTTTCGCCGATATTAATGAGTACAATAACGCACATTTAGCCTTTCTTTATAGTTTGCTTTTCGGTATACCTAACACATTTGCCGAACTATATAGCTTCATAAGTTACTAGTTTTCGGCATTTATTTCCACAACTATGTCTGATTTTGCACAATCCTGCATTATTTTAACAATTCTGCAATATGGGATATATACGACGATTGGTGCATATCGAATCAAAGTCATCTTCTGCATCTTTCTTTCCCAAAATATTACTTTCAGTGAGAGTATAGTTCATCTTAAGGATGAGACCGGTTTGTTTTTCGTTTTTTTCCCCCAAATTTTTTACATTACCATTTGGATTTTGTATACCAGTACTCGCCCGTTCTTCGCAAGAATACGACTTGCGCTTCCATTCTAGACCGCGTGCTTACATGCGGGCTTATCAAACATATGAATAACGGATGATGCTAATAAGAATACACCGAAAGAAAATTCTTCCAAACACGAATGAAATTCTAAGAATATTTAAAAATCAGCCATCATAAAAAAACAACAACAACAACAAACCCAACTTACATGACGGTATATCTACATGTATTACAAATATTTATTCATTCACTTTCCTTTGAAAAAAATCGTATATTTCAATCACAGGTAAACGTTGCGTGGCCATGACTTACACTATACCCCCGTTCCCCCTCTACAACCCAATACCCTAAAAAAAATTATGAAAAAAAAAAAATTATGACTAAAATATTATAAAGGTATTTTACTCTACTTTCATTTTGCATAGAAATATCACTAGCATCTCAATTATCAGCGCATATATTCATCAATTTTTCACCAATCTTAACAATCTTGGTCTCAAATCTTAGATAAATAAATACTCTTTAAGAAAACAACACTGGCACCTTCGCTGATTATACGTAGCAAGAAATATCCAAGCCCAAACTGTCAACAAATGAAACTCGGAAGAGATCTGATTGCACCGTTTCGGTAAAACTCTCACGAGTAAAACACACTAAATTCACCGTGAAAGAATATTTCTTTGTATTGCGTATTTAAATATGATAAAATTAAATTATTATTTATAATAATTGTTCAATCAAAGCATCATATGAAACTATAACGCACCTTTTTTCCTATATGTCAAATTCTCAATCCAAAATTAAAGTAAATTGGCACAGCAGAATTGTTTCCCTTTAAGTATTTTCATTGGTCCGAGGTTTTCCTGTGACCAATGAAAATACTCCATTTGAAAACAATCTGCAGGCCCATTTTACTTTCATTTTGGAATGAGAATTTGACATATAGGAAAAAAGGTGCGTTATAGTTTCATAAGATGCTTTGATTGAACAATTATTATAAATAATAATTTAATTTTATCATATTTAAATACGCAATACAAAGAAATATTCTTTCACGGTGAATTTAGTGTGTTTTACTCGTGAGAGTTTTACCGAAAGGGTGCAATCAGATCTCTTCCGAGTTTCATTTGTTGACAGTTTGGGCTTGGATATTTCTTGCTACGTATAATCAGCGAAGGTGCCAGTGTTGTTTTCTTAAAGAGTATTTATTTATCTAAGATTTGAGACCAAGATTATTAAGATTGGTGAAAAATTGATGAATATATGCGCTGATAATTGAGATGCTAGTGATATTTCTATGCAAAATGAAAGTAGAGTAAAATACCTTTTCAATATTTTAGTCATAAAAATTATTTTTTTTTTCATAATTTTTTTTTAGGGTTTTGGGTTGTAGAGGGGGAAAGGGGGTATAGTGTAAGTCATGGCCACGCAACGTTTACCTGTGATTTCAATTATATTACCTGATCATCTATTTACCATGAAATTTATTATAAATAAAGATAAAGTGTGCCGTTTTATTATAAGAAAACTTTTTTTATCTTCCTAAATATTTGTATAAATTATTAATATATTATGTATTCATATATCAAAATAATGATCTTACCTTTGCCTACTCGAAAAGTTTTCATTTTCTGTGACTCAACTCAACAAGTACATTACCTGACCTTATTACATAATGAAACCCCACGAGAAACACGAGAATATTCAAATAACACCTGATTGTGAACGAATGAATAACAAGAGCGTAGTGGATGGTATCTTGGCATGGCTTTGGAATGCTGTCTTAAACATGATAAAGTATATAAATGATGTGTTTTTTGTAAGTAATATTAATAAATACTGAGTTTAAAACTGATGTATGGATAGAAAAACAAAAGAGCATGTAGGTAAGATAGTTACCGCACTCGAAATAGGTCTGCATAGTATTTACAGACCCGGTGGCCTTTTAAAAACCTCGATCGCTACGCTCTCTCGGTCTTCAAATCGCCACCCGGGTCTGTAAATACTATGCATACCTATTCCTCGTACGGTAACTATTACTTACTATAAGTGATAAATCATGAAAAGCGTGCACGTTCCTATTGCTTAATATGCAGACGACAGGTTTTGTTACACTAATAAGACCGGGGAAATAAAAGAATAACTGTAAACGGATTGTCAATCAGGAGGACGGTAAGATTGACAAGTTGTTGGTACTAAAATCCGACCCACAGGCCATAACGTATCATTCAATGTGACATAAAGACATATGAGCCGCATCACGACAAAACCAACATAATGGGTTTGCGACCAGCATGGATTCAGACCAGCCTGCGCATCCACGCAGTCTGATCAGGATCCATGTTGTTCGCTTACAGACCCTATAACAAGTAGAGAAATAGATAGCGAACAACATGGATCCTGATCAGACTGCACGGATATGCAGGCTGGTCTGGATCCATGCTTGTCGCAAACCCACTATGTTAGTTGTGTCGTGACACGGCTCATATCACTCTTTCTTATTGCCGTAACAGGTTTCTTATTCAATTTGTATTGTTCTAAGTGATTTGAATCAAATGAAATACTGTTAACGCTGAAGGAAGTATAAGTACATACAGTATAAACATAAGCTTTGAACAGGTGCGACTTTGTAAGCAGTTATTGCTTTTGGGGGATGCGAACTAAGTAACCTTATTATAACAACCTTAAGCTTAATAAATCTGCATGCCTTCAGATGAGCCATAATAGATCAAGAAAATCAAACTAGAGAAAAATTGTAAAGAGTTTTTTACGTAACACTTTACATTATAGATGTAATTCATGGCTAATTTTGCGGTTTTACAACCATATTTCTACTGTGCGACTAATGCAGTAAGAGCTATACATTGTATTTGTTTATTTTTGCTTTTTTTTTGTTTGTTTTTTTTTTTTTTTTTTGTTTTTTTGTTTGTTTTTTTTGTTTGTTTGTTTGTTTGTTTCTTTGTTGTTTTTAGTTCATTTACGTGGATTGTACATTATTTATTATTTGCAATGTGTAATTACTTTCTTTGTTCATTTCACATATTTTTTAACTTTTAAATAAATTTTCAAAATTTTAATGATCATTAACATGAATCAGGATGAATGCTGCTTTATATGTATTACAAATAGTGAGCTGTAAACTTTGTGCCAAATATTAACTTCGGCAATTTCAATAAAATACTACATAGCTTGTAAAAGTGATTTTTTCGAGATACATGTACTTACCACTTAATTAATAAGACGATGAATGTCTGTTGTTAGGATCTTTTTAAAAAAAATATGAAAACGGTTATTTTAGCACGAGGTTTTAGTGTATAGATAATTGGTAACTTGTAAAGGGCGGGAATTCTGTTGGTACAGATGCATGAGATCCATGAATGAGTAATCTCCCCTTCCTTTAAGATTTATACCAACCCAGCAGGGGATAATCTATAAAATGTTTACCTGTGCTTTCACCCCAGTGGAACCGACTGGTTATCTCAGTAAGTAGAGCGTTGGACTGAGAAACAGGCGATCCGGGTTCGATTCCCGTACCGTGCAGGTCACTTTCATTGTAATTGATCATGAAAGCTTTTTTACGGTCATTCGCACTGTACCGCTAATCTGGTATATACAGAAGTTTCAATTCCTTGCGAAATTGAAATTCCTTGAGAACTTGAAGGCAACTGGTACTGGCACACTGCTTGACAGCCTGTCCAGGAACGATGCTGTGCTCTGGTAAATTCAATGTGGCTAACTGCGGTAATCCTTGGTGAAAACTACCAACACCACTACCACTCAGCTCAGTGGTGTTAATTTTTTTTTCTGGTCCTCCGACACAGTTATTATTTAAGACTGACTACCACTTTAAGTCAGTGCTAGAGGCGTGAAAAATGTTACATCTGCGAAAGTGGTAATTAGTTCTTTATTGTAAAATATAACATTGAAAATGTAAAGTTATTTTTTTTACTTCTCACTGACCAGTTACATTTGGATGGTCCTAATGTCACTTGAATCAAACCGAGTGTGCAATTTTTATCTTGATACTTTTTCTTTCATGTCGCCAGAGGATCTCATTTAAAATTATCAAAACTGTATGTAGTACATTTTTAAATAACCAACATGAAAATAACAATAATTCTTGGCATGTCTGTGGCATGGCACAATTCTATGGATTCCTTTGAAATAAGCGCTCAGTTGATGTTTATTTAAGGTTCATAATTTTTAAGAGCATATCATTTAATACACTGAGATATATCAAAGATTCTAGTTTACAGCGTTATTATTTTTTTTTATCGTATTATCATATGAACAACGGAAAATGTCAAAAAAGATCGGTACCCTTCGGAATTCATTCAAAGTGTCCCGGAGTTTGGCGGAAATGAACGCGAGCTTAGTACAATGTATTCAATGCAAGTAAGTTTTAAAAATGACGATTTATATAGGAAAGAGGTCATCTGCGTTGCTTCTATGAGTAGATCTATATTAACCCTGAAGATGCTGAATAATTTAAATGGACTTGTTCCACTTCTATTTTTGGGACTGTCCATTATCAATTTAAGGGATATCAATTTGAATATTTAAAGTTTGTCAAGTCTGGTCAGACAGCATGGACGTTCAGGCTTGCCTGGCTCTATACTGGTGGCATAGGGTTAATGCTGTCGGCTCATGCACTTTTTTAAGGGTTAAAATATAATTTTATTTGGAATGTTTTCATAATGGCTTAGTTTGCATGGAAAACTAACTTCGAGCTCGTGACACACCACGTGAAGGACAACATAAGGTCAGAAACGTAAAATATATATTTTATGGTACTCACTAGATTAAAGAGTAGCACATTTTTTTTCATTTGTTGTAGTTGTCGATGTTGCTTATGTTGTTGTAGCTTTTTGTTATTTTTGTTTACCTCTGATTTAATAGCCAATACAGGGGGAGGCGGGTAAAGAAATCCCCAAAACGTGGGGCTCTAAGAATGACGGCTAGTCATCCCGAATTGATGTTTAGTGACCAATGTAGCCGAACTAGATTCAGTGCTCATTACCAAACATTCCAGCTTCAAGAGCTCCTACAGAGTCAGTGTACAGTCAAACTTGTGTTAGTGACCACCTCCGAACAAAGACATCTATGTTAATAAAACCACTCTTCGAAAAACCTTCATTGATAAAAAATAAAACAGTGTAATCTCCGAATAAAGACCTCTTGTATACGTAAGTCACGTATGGTCACTCCTTTTGGGTGGCACAAGGAACACAAACTCAATGGTTCACTTAAAAATGATATCATAAATACTTGTTTAAGATGTCGTCGTTCAAAATTCTCCTAGCCTTTTGCAAATACTGGTCTAATACAAGTCTTTTTAATAATAACAACACTAGAAGTAAGTTTGATTTAAACTTTATTTTTGGATGCTGGGGAAAGATAAAGATAGAAAGCAATGTCGACATCAATTTAACATTTAACTTTATAACAAGTAGTAAAGGGGGGACGTTAAACCGACCCCTTTACTACTAAAACATTCTAAACAAAATTGTTGAAAAGATGCATTTAATGCAGTCATAAAGAAAAATGTTATAAATAGAGAAAAGGAGAGAAGATGATATATTTTATCAGTGGATATGTCGGTAGTGTTGAAGCGGTGTCGGTCCGGGGCATAGTTCTGGTTTAATGAACTTGATTTAAGCAGAAGGATTACAACAAAATCCTGGCGTTGTGTCCTGACAGTCGTATCCCGCAGGACAGGCTGGAGCAAGTGTGACGCATTCATTAACATCTGTTGAAAAAAAACAACTAAAGTTAACTGATACCTTCATATAACTAATATAGTAATCATCTTTGCATATTTTCAAGACGTTTTGGTAAATTCTCTAAATTAGACTTTGCATGATCTTGCAATGTGATAGAAGAAACATTTCTACCAGAAATCATTGCTCGCAAGAATAAGTATCATAAAATTGATTAAATATAAGTTGATGTTATAATGGAAAAAATATGTTTAATCGTGTTGTATATTAAAATATCCTTACTTAATGTACTTGATTAGAAATCATAGCAAAAAATGTATCTTAGCTTTTTTAATGCACTGACACTGAATTCACTGGTGTCAGTAGTAAATCTGGTCAATTTTACTTTCGCTATTGTTGTAAGTACAAATGTATGTAAGATGTTGCATTGACCACTGTCAAAAGTATAATTAACTCATACACTGTATAATGATAACATAAAATATAGAAGTTTTCAGAAAACATGTTTTCCATGTTGATGAACTAAAAGAAAATAGTTGAAACTAAATCTGGTGCTAAAAGATACAATTTGGTAGCAAATTAGCTAAAAGCATATATTTCACCTCTTAATATATTTGTTGTTTTTTGTTGTTTTTGTTTTTTAAAAAGAAGATAAAAATCATTTTCTTACTATCGCAGTTGCCGGGTGTCCCATTTCCAGTATAGCCTGTATCGCAGGTACAGGAGAAACTTCCAAAGCTATTCTGGCACGAGGCATTGGTGTCACACGGTGATGGCGAGTTAGTACATTCGTTGATGTCTGTAAAATTTCCAAGTAAGAATGCAAGTGTGAATTTATAACAAAACACATTTGAAATATCCTAAATATTATTTTTTGCTATCCTCAATGTAAATTGACAGTGATTAGAAAATATACATGTATAAGATTACATTTTTTTTCCAAATAAATTTATGATATATGGCAATATCAATGTAATCTATATAACATACATACACTAGTATAACGTAATAATTTATATAGATATATAATTATATATAACATAATGAATTTGCCCTGAATTGATAATATAACCAACATAGTAATTTAATTAATGAAATTCCCCTGCTTTAATTATATAACCAAATAATATAGCGTAATGTATTTGCCCTGCTTTAAAAATATAACAAAATAATAAAACGCAATGCATTGCCTTGCTTTAAAATTGGAAAGTTTTATTTTTCAAGAATATAAAGATACCCAAATGGAGCTTCTACCGATACAGAGCCTTGTCTGACTGCACGGACAAGTATGCCTGACTTTTTTGGTCTTACACTGAACATGCAGCGGTTATATAACAACTTTTTTTGCTGAAAATATGATAAAAAGTGGTTGATATATGTTTCACACAACCAATGAACCAAACATTATGTGAGTTAATATGATCGGTAATCACCTACCGACGCATGTTACTCCGTCGCCGCTGAATCCGGCGTTACACGCACATGTGAAGCCTCCTGGGGTATTCGTACATTGTGCGTTCGCATTACAGTTGTCGGTTCCAGTGGTGCATTCATTAATATCTAATGTAGATAAAAAGACGGACGATAAAATATTATTAAAATCTCATTTAAAACAGTCAAGTTGCAGAACGGACTACAAAGGCGCAGACAACAAGACAAAATATACAATTGATTAAAGGCACGTGATGCTCTTAAAAACGCACTACATGCATTTGGAATTGAAGTAGCAAAATGTAAACAAAGAAACGTATTGACTTCCATACAAAAAAATAAGTATTTTGTATAGAAGTCAAAACGCTACTTTGTTTACATTTTGTTACTTTTATTCCAAACACGTGTAGTTCCTTTCTGGGGAATAACGTGCCTGACCTTTTTGGCATTACACTGGACATGCAACGGCTATATAACCTCTTTTGTACTGAAATTATGATAAATTGGGTTCAAATATGTCTTATACACATATGAACCAAACATTTTGTGAGTTTGTATGATAGGTAATCACCTACCGACGCATGTTACTCCGTCGCCGCTGAATCCGCTGTTACACGCGCAGGTGAAGCCTCCTGGGGTATTCGTACATTGTGCGTTCGCATTACAGTTGTCGGTTCCAGCGGTGCATTCGTTAATATCTAATGTAGTTAAAAAGACGGACGATAAAATATCATTAAAATCTCATTTAAAACTGTCAAGTTGCAGAACGGACTACAAAGGCGCAGACAACAAGACAAAATATACAATTGATTAAAGGCACGTTATGCCCCAGAAAGGAACTACATGTATTTGGAATTAAAGTAACAAAATGTAAACAAAGAAGTGTTTTGACTTCATACAAAATAATAAGTAATTTTTAATCCAAATACGTGTAGTTCCTTTCTGGGGCATAATGTTTCTGACCTTATTGGCCTTACACTTGACATGCAGCGGCTATATAACCTCTTTTGTGCTGAAAATATGATAAAAAGTGGTCCATATATGTTTTATTCACCCATGAACCAAACATTATGTGAGATTATATGATCGGTAATCACGTACCGACGCATGTTACTCCGTCACCGCTGAATCCGCTGTTACACGCGCAGGTGAATCCTCCTGGGGTATTCGTACATTGTGCGTTTGCATTACAGTTGTCGGTTCCAGCGGTGCATTCGTCTATATCTAATGTAGGTAAAAAGACGGACGATAAAATATTATTAAAATATCATTTTAAACAGTCATACTGCAGAACGGACTACAAAGGCGCAGACAACAAGACAAACTATACAATTGATTAAAGGCACGTTATGCCCCAAAAACGAACTACATGTATTGGAATAAAAGTAACAAAATGTAAACAAAGCTGTGTTTTGACTTCCATACAAAATAATAAGTATTTTTGTACTGAAGTCAAAACGCTACTTTGTTTACATTTTGTTACTTTTATTCCAAATACGTGTTGTTCCTTTCTGGGGCATCAAGTGCCTGACCTTCTTGGCCTTACACTGGACATGCAGCGGCTATATAACCTCTTTGATAAATAGGGTTCAAATATGTTTTATACACCCATGAACCAAACATTATGTGAGTTTATATGATTGGTAATCACCTACCGACGCATGTTACTCCGTCGCCGCTGAATCCGCTGTTACACGCGCAGGTGAATCCGCCTGGGGTATTCGTACATTGTGCGTTCGCATTACAGTTGTCGGTTCCAGCGGTGCATTCGTCAATATCTAATGTAGGTAAAAAGACAGAGGATAAAATATCATTAAAATCTCATTTTAAACAGTCATGCTGCAGAACGGACTACAAAGGCGCAGACAACAAGACAAACTATACAATTGATTAAAGGCACGTTATGCCCCAAAAACGAACTGCATGTATTTGGAATAAAAGTAACGACATGTAAACAAAGTAGCGTTTTTGACTTCCATACAAAATAATAAGTATTTTTGTACTGAAGTCAAAACGCTACTTTGTTTACATTTCGTTACTTTTATTCCAAATACGTGTTGTTCCTTTCTGGGACATCACGTGCCTGACCTTCTTGGCCTTACACTGGACATGCAGCGGCTATATAACCTCTTTTGTGCTTAAAATAGGATAAATAGGGTTCAAATATGTTTTATACACCCATGAACCAAACATTATTTGAGTTAATATGATTGGTAATCACCTACCGACGCATGTTACTCCGTCACCGCTGAATCCGCTGTTACACGCGCAGGTGAAGCCTCCTGGGGTATTCGTACATTGTGCGTTCGCATTACAGTTGTCGGTTCCAGTGGTGCATTCGTCAATATCTAATGTAGGTAAAAAGACAGAGGATAAAATATTATTAAAATCTCATTTAAAACAGTCAAGTTGCAGAACGAACTACAAAGGCGCAGACAAAAAGACAAAATATACAATTAATTAAAGGCACGTTATGCTCCAAAAACGAGCTACATGCATTTGGAATTAAAGTAACAAAATGTAAACAAAGAAACGTTTTGACTTCCATACAAAATAATAAGTATTTTGTATGGAAGTCAAAACGCTACTTTGTTGACATTTTGTTACTTTTATTCCAAATACGTGTAGTTCCTTTCTGGGGCATTACGTGCTTGACCTTTTTGGAATTACACTGGACATGCAACGGTTATATAACCTCTTTTGTGCTGAAAATGTGATAAATTGGGTTCAAATATGTTTTATACACATATGAACCAAACATTTTGTGAGTTTATATGATTGGTAATCACCTACCGACGCATGTTACTCCGTCGCCGCTGAATCCGCTGTTACACGCGCAGGTGAATCCTCCTGGGGTATTCGTACATTGTGCGTTCGCATTACAGTTGTCGGTTCCAGCGGTGCATTCGTCAATATCTAATGTAGGTAAAAAGACGGACGATAAAATATTATCAAAATATCATTTAAAACAGTCATACTGCAGAACGGACTACAAAGGCGCAGACAACAAGACAAACTATACAATTGATTAAAGGCACGTTATGCCCCAAAAAACGAACTACATGTATTGGAATAAAAGTAACAAAATGTAAACAAAGCTGTGTTTTGACTTCCATACAAAAATAATAAGTATTTTTAAATCAACGCAGAAGGACAAAAAGGCCGAAAACAAGCAAACACAATGTTTAAAAGGGCACGTTATGCCCCAAAAAGGGGAACTACATTTTTGGAAAAAAGAAACAAAATTAAAAAAGCTGTTTATGTTTCCATACAAAAAAATACGTGTTTTGTACTGAAGTAAAACCTTTTTTTACTTTTTTGTTATTTTTATTCCAATACTTTTTCCTTTCTGGGCATCAAGTGCCTGGACCTCTTCGGGGCCTTACACTGGACATGCAGCGGCTATATAACCTTCTTTTGATAAAATAGGGTTCAAATATTTTTATTACACCCCATGAACCAAACATTATGTGAGTTTATATGATTGGATAATCACCTACCGACGCATGTTACTTCCTTTCGCCGCTGGAATCCGCTTTACACGCGCAGGGTGAATCCGCCTGGGTTTTCGTACATTGTGCGTTCGCATTTACAGTTGTCGGTTCCAGCGGTGCATTCGTCAATATCTAATGTAGGTAAAAAGACGGACGATAAAATATTATCAAAATATCATTTTAAACAGTCATACTGCAGAACGGACTACAAAGGCGCAGACAACGAGACAAACTATACAATTGATTAAAGGCACGTTATGCCCCAAAAACAACTACATGTATTTGGAATAAAAGTAACAAAATGTAAACAATGAAGCGTTTTGACCTAAATACAAAATAATAAGTATTTTTTGTACTGAAGTCAAAACGCTTCTTTGTTTACATTTTGTTACTTTTATTCCAAATGCGTGTTGTTCCTTTCTGGGGCATCACGTGCCTGACCTTTTTGGCCTTACACTGGAAATGCAGCGGCTATATAACCTCTTTTGTGCTGAAAATATGATAAATTGGGTTCAAATACGTTTTATACACCCATGAACCAAACATTATGTGAGTTTATATGATTGGTAATCATCTACCGACGCATGTTACTCCGTCGCCGCTGAATCCGCTGTTACACGCGCAGGTGAATCCTCCTGGAGTATTCGTACATTGTGCGTTCGCATTACAGTTGTCGGTTCCATCGGTGCATTCGTCAATATCTAATGTAGATAAAAAGACAGTCGATAAAATATTATTAAAATCTCATTTAAAACAGTCAAGTTGCAAAACGGACTACAAAGGCGCAGACAACAAGACAAAATATACAATTGATTAAAGGCACGTTATGCTCCAAAAACGAACTACATGCATTTGGAATTAAAGTAACAAAATGTAAACAAAGAAGCGTTTTGACTTCCATACAAAAGATTAAGTATTTTGTATGGAAGTCCAAAGGCTACTTTGTTGACATTTTGTTACTTTTATTCCAAATACGTGTAGTTCCTTTCTTGGGCATAACGTGCCTGACCTTTTTGGAATTACACTGGACATGTAACAGCTATATAACCTCTTTTGTGCTGAAAATGTGATAAATTGGGTTCAAATATGTTTTATACACATATGAACCAAACATTTTGTGAGTTTATATGATTGGTAATCACCTACCGACGCATGTTACTCCGTCGCCGCTGAATCCGCTGTTACATGCGCAGGTGAATCCGCCTGGGGTATTCGTACATTGTGCGTTCGCATTACAGTTGTCGGTTCCAGCGGTGCATTCGTCAATATCTAATGTAGGTAAAAAGACGGACGATAAAATATTATCAAAATATCATTTTAAACAGTCATACTGCAGAACGGACTACAAAGGCGCAGACAACGAGACAAACTATACAATTGATTAAAGGCACGTTATGCGGCCCCAAAACAACTACATGTATTTGGAATTAAAAATAAACAAAATTAAAACAATGAAGCGTTTTGACCTAAATACAAAATAATAAGTATTTTTTGTACTGAAGTCAAAACGCTTCTTTTGTTTACATTTTGTACTTTTATTCCCCAAATGCGTGTTGTTCCTTTCTGGATCACGTGCCTGACCTTTTTGGCCTTACACTGGAAATGCAGCGGCTATATAACCTCTTTTGTGCTGAAAATATGAATAAATTGGGTTCAAATACGTTTTATACACCCATGAACCAAACATTATGTGAGTTTATATGATTGGTAATCATCTTACCGACGCATGTTACTCCGTCGCCGCTGAATCCGCTGTTACACGCGCAGGTGAAGCCTCCTGGGGCATTCGTACATTGTGCGTTTGCATTACAGTTGTCTGTTCCAGCGGTGCATTCGTCAATATCTAATGTAGGTAAAAAGATGGACGATAAAATATCATTAAAATCTCATTTAAAACAGTCAAGTTGCAGAACGGACTATAAATTCAAGGCGCAGGCAACAAGACAAAGTATACAATTGATTTAAGGCACGATATGCCAAAAAAAACGAACTACACGTATTTGGGATAAAAGTTACAAAATGTAAACAAAGCTGTGTTTTCCTTCCATACAAAATACTTAATATATAGTCAAAAAGCAACAGAAGGTCGAGATTGGTCAGGTAATATACCAATATGTAGCTTTTGGGGAATCAGGGGAATCATAAATAGTCACCAAAAATAAAAAGCTATAGAAATGGAAATTAAAGCATTTCATGATGGGCCATTAAACACTAAAATACAATATTATATACCGCTTCTTTATTTATAAAAGAGTCAGTGGGCCTTTAGATAGAATAATATCCACGATGACGTCAGAGGAAACTAAGTTTTTATCAGACCTCTAAAATTTAGTCGTATATAATCTTTCAGAATGCGCATTACATAAGCTGATTCCCAAAGTTTTCAGAGCAATTTATTAAGAAACATGTTGTTGTAGTAAGAATTCTTTACTTGTACCTCTAACACTTTGTTACAGTAAAGTGAAGTATAAAATAATGAATAACATATAGTATTAAAATGACCGATCAGTAAGTCCGCAAACAATTCACTGTTTCAGGCTGACTGGGAGGTCACTGCCCCCCATCGTTGTGAAAACTTAAATAAAACTTGGACAGGCGATATTACATACATTGCTGACACCGCTTGTATAGTTATAATTTTTGAAATTTACAAAAGATACAATATAAAGAGGTAAATCTATTAAAAAATATGCAAGTAATTTAATTATGGACTGTTATGTTCAAACTGTGTTCACTTAATGGCCGAAATGTGTACTTAAAATCTCACATAGTATTTGCTTAAATATACTGCATAATGCAAATTTTATATAAGATCTTTGTAAAATGAAAAAAAAAGTCAAAAGAACATCTGGAAAAAAAGTGGACAGACTAACTGCATATAGAAAGACAAGTCGGTCATACAAACAAGCCGGTCACACAAACAAGTCGGTCATACAAACAAGTCAGTCATACAAATAGACAGAATATTACCCGTTGAACACGTTGGCCCTGTGAATCCTGAACCAGTACAATCACACGCTACATTGCCATCTCCATTTATAAAACATTGTTGTGGCACAATGTTGCATGGACCTAGAAATATGAAGATCTGTCATTTAAAATATCAAACTTTGTCAACATGTAGTGCTTGAAATTATGCTTAAATCATAACAAATAATAACAACAATTTACATAAGTCACACTGGACTTGTTTTCCAATCCTCGAACTATTTCAGTGTGTTTCTATATGCTCACTCTATAAATCTTTTGTACAGTTTGAAATAACTAACATGTAGTCATCTGCTTGCACCTTCTTTGCGCAAAAAAGAATAATAATAAGGAAATACTAAGGCAAATTACTTGATAACTTGTTAATTACAATAAACTGAAGAATGTTATCTTCTTTGTTTAAGATATCGGTTGGCAACAAAATAACTACTAACGATCTTTGTCGAAGTATTTATATTTTAGTAGAATAAATTATAATATATAAAAGTCTTACAGTCGTAGCATTTAAATTGACTTGGATTATTTGAATTGCCTGGAGGTCCACAAAATTGGCCTGATGGACAAGACTGTATATGAAATAAACAATAATACTCTATATATCGATTATAAACGTCATGTGCTATTTATAGCCGTACCATTCTATATATGGCCGTAATATCACAAGGAACAAATTTAATTATACAAAATTAATATATAACATTAATGTTACATGAATCTTAAATAAGTGGAAATTTAATATACAATACAAAATTAATACTAGAAGTTTTACGATAAAATATGAAAACTTTATATTAAAAATTTAAAAATGACAAAGTACATAAAAATTCATACATTAGGAAAATTCTTTTTGCAATTTGTAACCGCCGCATTTGCCGAAGCAATACACACAAGCAACAACGCCTATAACAGAAAATGTTACAATTAGGTAGGGCGAAAGTATTTGGTTCCCTATAAAGTACACCATGTAAACTTCTATATGCATGGTTTGTTTGTATAGTATGCATATTTGAAGCGGCATTATCCTCCAAAATAGAATTATTAGTACTATCTACACTAAACAATTTTGCATGGAAGCGCTGTACATAGACTATTTCAGGAGAGATCCTCTTTGAAGCCATGTTGCATGGTTGGCTACCCCGATACAACAAAATCATGTTTATGT